AAATGAATGGTAGTCCCATTTTCACCCGGGGGGTGGCTTCGTGCATTGCTATCACCTGCTGGGCAGCTCGGGACGTTGATGCGGTGCAGAGCGGTGAGCGTCTGAACCCTTTCTCGCCAATAGTTCTGCCCGAAGCGGTCCTTAGCATCTGTTAAGCAGCAGGAGAGGAGAAGGGGGAGTGCAAGGGCGACTACATGGGTGTGTGGGTGAATCATGACGGTTTGGATGGATAGAGAGCACGACCGAATTGTCTCAGTGGCTGCTTTTTCTACGTCGCTGGAGGGAAATCACCAACAAAAGCACAGCACAGCGCACACCAATGCGTCACTGCGCTGCGCTCACTGACCAACAAAGAAGCCCGAGTTTGCACGGCACTACACCAGAGAAGGCTCACCAATAAACCACAGCGCTCACTGACCAACAAAGAATCCCGAGTCGGCGAGGCAGGTGGCTTGGGCGCGGGGGAAGGCAGCAGCGAGGCGGTCGCAGTGCATGATGATGGCATGGCCGCCCGCTGAGCTGCCCGAGAAGAGCACGTGTGACGCCGCCCCCATGCCCTGCCGTGTGCGCAGGTCTGATATGGGAGGAAGATTGGAAGGGGTAATGTGAGATAGGTGCATCGGGAGGAGACATCGAGTGACAGTGATGCACATACGGTTGTGGCGGATGGGGAACACGGGGGGAGGAAATAAAGGCTGTTTGTGAAAGTGTGTGGATAGGTGGCAATGCAATGTGATTCCTCACTGTTGCTGATTGAATATGTCTTTCTAAAGCGAGGTTGACTTTCAGTACTAAGCAGCCTTGTGTTCTCCCTCCCTTCCCTTCACTCCCCAACCTCCTCCTTCCTTCCTTCACACTTGCGCGCCCCTGCAAGTCCGCAACCCCCATTACTCCCTCCCTAGCCATTCCCTCAGCCATTCCCTCCCCCCTTCCCCCTGCCATTCTCATCCTTCCCCTCCTCAGCCGCCCTACCCCCCAGCCTCCCTTCCCCAGCCACCCTCCCCCCAGCCAACCATCAATAACTGCGTCCAATATCCCCCGCCCCTGCATGTACACCGATGCGCCCTCCCCCAGGCCCGCCCTCCCCCGCGTGCTGCTGTAGGCGCCACCATCACAGTACACCACCCACACCAGGTTCCACGAGTAAAACACGGGGTTCGCTCTCTTGCTCCGCGATAGCAGGCCCCCGAGTTGAGGGTAGGAGACGTTAGTCTGGTGAAAGGGGTACGGTACGGTTGGGTGGGGTGGGGGATGGTGGGGTGGGGTGTATTGAAAAGTCTTCTGAAGGCGCCTCAGAAACTGATTTGTGAGGCAGGGAACGGTGGGTTGCGGTGTGAAGGGAAGGGAAGGGGCAAAGAGCAGCGAGGAAACAGAAGGCAAGGCATGACATGAGAAAAGAGGCATGAGATGAGAGAGGGCGCATGAGAAACGAAATGGGGGCAACAGAGGGAGCGAGAATACTCACATTCCTCACTGCGCCACCGTTTTCAACGGCGGGCGGGAAGCCGTCTGGCCCAGAAGCGTGAGGAACCGAGGGGGGAATTGGCGCGCTCGAAGCACTCGCGCGGGGAGAAGCGGATTTCAACGACGGAGTGAGTCGGCTCGGCAGCACTCACATTGGGCACCTTTCTGCCGTTTTCAACGGCGGCGGGGAGGCGTCTGGCCCAGAATCGCGACGAGCCGAGGAAGGAATTGGCGCGCTCGAGGCACTCGCGCGGGGTGAAGCACCAGCCGCCCGTGGGGAGATGCACGTGCCACTTGCGCTTCCCCGCGCCCGCCCCCGCGCGGAAGTAGTACGCGGGGGGGCTTAGGGGGGGAGGGAAAGGGGAAAGAGGAAGGTTGGGAGGAAAGCTAGAGAGAAATGTGCAGCGAAGTATCAACCCATTCGCGAAGAATCATGTTCCTCCCATCATGGAGTAATCGTAATTGCAAATGGTATTAGGTTTCCATTATCGGTTGATGATCGTAGCCGGGCGGAACGACAACAGAGGATTCGATTCTTGAGGCTCTTCAGAAATAGTTTTGAGGCCCTAATAAACCGGAATCATTATGGCGGAATCGTCCTTCGTTCCACCGGCGGCCGCCGCACCTGCCGTCGAGGCATTTCGCGCCGCGCGTGTTGTTGCGAAGGACGACGAGGCGCGTCGCACTAGCGGATTCTACGCGCTTCGCTCGTTCCGCCACGCATAGATGGCGGGGCGGCGCCGTGAGCAGCAGCGCGAGAAGCGGGAGGAGCAGCGCGAGCAGGGGGGGGAAGCGGGGGCAAGCGCGGCGGGCGGAGGCGAAAAGCGCGAGCAACGCAATGACTGACATTGGCGGATCAGGTCCCGCGGGAGGGGGGAAGAACTTCCCGGGAAGCGCAAATCATCTCCAAAGCTGTAATAAATCACAGCGTGACGCAGTACTACTTTCAAATCGGAAGAAAGCCTTGCTTTTGGCGAGCTATCCCGCGGAATACTTACCGCACAGTTGATTGCCGACTTGAGACGAGCCATCTGACCTAGACCCATCCGACTGGGACGGGCGGCGCTGGGGGAGGACGGGGGGAGAAGGGTGGGGTTGTCAAACGCGTAAGGGGCTGGAGTGGAATGCTAGAGTTGATTGCCGACTCGAGACGAGCCGTCTGACCTAGACCAATCGGACTGGACGGGCGGCGCTGGGGGGCGCTGGACTCTTGCGCGGAAGAGTTGATTGCCGACTCGAGATGAGCCGTCTGGCGGAATCCGTCAAGCTGGGACCTTGGACTCGTTGTGTGGTACTGTACCGTACTGAACCGTAGTCGTGCGTCTTATATCCGTAACCAGTGCAGCCGTCTTTTCACGGACAGCAACCAACAGCCTAGCGGTTCCGCAACATATGGTTTGCGCACGAGGGGGGGATGATGGCACTTGGGACATACATCCATCTATCCATAGCCTGACCTAGGGGGGCCAATTGGTTGTGGCCGCCGCAAACTGCCAATCAGGCGAATTTGCAATTTCTCCAATTTCCGCGGAGTTTGTTTTGGTTGCGGCGGCTCGAGGAAACTCGCGAAATGGACCGCACCACACACGTGCAACCCATCACGCATCCTCTTGCGTGGCAACGACGGCGCTGCGAGCTCCAGCACCGCGAGATTGGGCGACGAAATTCAAGGCAGCAGGGTAACAGCTGCATGTGTACAGTAGTGGGAGAAGATAGCACTCGTGACTGGTTCACGGTCACGAACCACTGCAAAAATCGTGCGAGGTTGAGGAGGATCTCGCTACTCTGCAAAAATCGTGCGAGGTCTTTTGCATATCAGCATTACAGGCACTACAATGGTTTTCTGGCCTGCACTTTGGGTAAATCATGTGCCCGACTGGATATGAGATTTTAGCATCATGAAATAGAAGAATTCTTCTTACTCATGCAGGAAAATACCTTTTCTACTGCTCACAAACCATCTATTGAATATCCAGTTTAGTTTCGCCCCTCTAATGGCCGTCGTGTACCATCCCTTATAGAACAACACCGTATGCCCCAATCCCGGCACGAGCATCACCCCCAAATTCCTTTTTCTCCGCACCGAATACACCAGGGAACTAAACGACAGAGACGCCATTGAAAACACCGCATTGACCTCTTGAGGCAGGCAAAATCGCGGATTCCAACGGAGCCCAACCCATGCTCGCTTGCGAGCCACGGCACTGGCGTTCGGCAGGAGAATCTGCATGGCGAGGCAGATTGTATCGTACTGGGTGCTGTTTTCTGGTAGCTGGTTCTCATTGGAAATGAGGATGGAGTCGAAGTGAAACTGGAAGAGGAAGAGGGGAGTTCTGATCTGGGGGAGGGTGTGTTCTGGAAAGAAGCACACCCAGTTGTCTCTCACATGTGCTCCTGAGGGAGAGGGTAGGAATGAGAGGGTGAGGGGTGGGGGGTGTGTTCAGGGAAGAAGCACAACCAGTTGTCCTTGTCCCTTACGTGTGCTCCTGAAGGGGGTGGGAAGTTGGGGAGGAAGGGGTGAAAGGATTGGGGGAACAGGGGGCAAAGTTGATCAGTGAGTTGACTCAAGTCGACTAAAAATCATCATAAAACGGTGTAAAAATCACCTGGTACTCAGCTTTACACCGAACAGATACTCGATAATTTTTGTTGTTCACCTGAGAATCACCTGGTGGTCCCAATTTTATTTGAGGGTCGCCCTGCCTGGTGCATAGCTTTCACCTGTCGGGCATTTTGGGACGTTGATGCGGTGCAGAGCGGTGAGCGCATGAACCCGATCTCGCCAATAGTATTGTCCAAGGCGGTCCTTAGCATCTGGCGGGCAGGCGGGAGGGGGAAAGGAAAGTGCAGCAGACTCTTGAGATGCATCAAACTCGCCAATAGTACTGCCTGAATCAGTCCTTAGCATCTGGCAGGCAGCGAGAAGGGGAAGGAGAAGTGCATCGGGGATTAGGAATCAGGGTCAATTGGAGGGAGTGCAAGTGAGAACAGGACCAAGACTCCAAGAGCATCCTTGGTGGAGTCAAGGCTCCAAGGCTCCAAGACTCCAAGGCTCCAACAGTATCCGTGCGACATGCTAGAGAGTCACTAGTTGGACAATGCTATGTCGCACGGGAGAATGCGCACCAACAAAAAAGCCTGAGTCGACAAGGCAGGTGGGTTTGGCGCGGGGGAAGGCAGCAGCGAGGCGGTCGCAGTGCATGATGATGGCATGGCCGCCCGCTGAGCTGCCCGAGAAGAGCACGTGTGACGCCGCCCCCATGCCCCTCCGCGTGCGCAGGTCTGCCATTCCGTGGGGGCGAGAGACGGAAGGAGAGAAAGTTGGTTGGCGGGGTGTGGGTGGATAGGTGGGTCGTTTTGCAATGATATTCCATGGTGTTGCGATTGGTTGGATGATAGCAATGCCTATCTATAGCGCGGATGATCTCATTAGTATGCCCCTGCATGTACACAGATGTGCCCTCCCCTAAGTCCCCCCTCCCCCAAGTCCAACCCCTCCGTCTCCCCCTCCCCAGCCCCCCTCCCCTCCAACGAACCATCAATTATTGCGTGCAATATCGCCTGCCCACTCATGTACACAGATGCGCCCTCCCCCAGGTCCGCCCTCCCCCGCGTGCTGCTGTAGGCGCCACCATCACAGTACACCACCCACACCAGGTTCCACCCGTGGAACACCGGGTTGGCTGTCTTGCTGCGGGATAGCAAGCCTCCGAATTGCGGGTAGGCAATTTGAGCCTGGTCGGGGTTGGATATCGTATCCTGGCCACAGGATAGGTTACGGTTGGGTGGGATGGGGTGGGGTGGGGTGGGGTGTGATCCATGATTGTGATGTGTGGAGGGGGAACGCATTCGGCTCGAGGGAGCGTGAGAGGGCGAGAGGGAGAGCGGGCGAGAGGGAGAGAGAGAGAGAGAGAGAGAGAGAGAGAGAGAGAGAGAGAGAGAGAGAGAGAGAGAGAGAGAGAGAGAGAGAGAGAGAGAGAGAGAGAGAGAGAGAGAGAGAGAGAGAGAGAGAGAGAGAGAGAGAGAGAGAGAGAGAGAGAGAGAGAGGAGAGGGGGAGGAAGAGCAATAGAGAGGGAGAGAGATTCGGCACCCACATTTGGTTTGAGACGTCTCAACACAAGCTTTTAATCCCTCGGCACTCACATTTGGCACCTTTCCGCCGTTTTCAACGATGGCGGGGAGGCGTCTGGCCCAGAAGCGCGAGGAGCCGAGGGGGGCATTGGCGCGCTCGAGGCACTCTTCCGGGGAGAAGCACCATCCGCCCTGAGGAAGATGCACGTGCCACTTGCCCCTCCCCGCGCCCGTCCCCGCGCGGAAGTAATAAGCGGGGGCGCTGGGTGCGGAAAACGAGTAGGGCAAAGAAGGAGGATGGGGGGAAAGGTGGGGAGACACACTAGGATGGGCTCTGATTGCGCAATGGTTAAGATCGCGCAAGGGACCGTTGACGGGAACATGGTTCCTTTCACGCTAATGACCGTTCATGATGGGCGTGCCTTTGATTTTATATGCAAATGGGTTGATAAAATAAGGCATTCTTCTTTATAATGTTGTCGGGATGGCAAATTACCGTCGCCCGCACCTGCCGTCGAGGCATTTCGCGCCGTACGCGTTATTGGGCAGGAGAACGAAGCGCGTGGCAGCAGGTTTCATCCGGTTCGCCCGTCCCGCCGCGCACAGAGAGTGCGGCAGCGCCGCGAGGAGCAGCGCGAGAAGGGGGAGGAGGAGCGCGTAGGGGAAGCGGGAGCAAGTACGGCGGGCGGAAGGAAGCAGCGGAACCAGCGCAAAGAACGACATTGGCGGATCAGGTTTCGCGGAGGGGAGCTTTCCGAAAAGCGGGTTCGGTCTCCGAGACATTTCCAAGTTCGAGTCGCTCGTCAGCTGCGAGTCACAGCTGGAAAAGACTTCTGAGATTGGAAGTTGGTAGCTTGAGCGGTAGCATCATGCTGAGTCCAAATCGCTCGTCACGCTACGGCGGAGTTGCGGGGCATGCTATGCTACCAAGCAAACTCGGGCAGCAGGCACTGGATATTCTGAGGCGCCTAAAAAGACGGAGTTGCGGCGCATTCTACCAAGTCAACTCAGGCACTAGGCAGTGGATCTTTACGTGATGAAAGAGTTGTTTTGAGACGTCTCAAACACCACGCACTCGATTTCTGGTGTATGACCATCGGATCGGACGGCCTATCAGTACCGGGTTTGATCCAATGACATCCTATTCCTATGCATACATTGGTCGAGATTCCATTGGGTTTCGTCGACGAGATATGGAGGGTCTGAAATGCTCGCCAAAGAGTGGTTTGCCGACTCGATACGAGCCGTCTGACCCAAATGCGTCCGTCTAGGACTGGTAGCGGTGGGTGGGTGGGTGGTGGGGCTTCTGCTTCCATTTCGAATCGAGTGAGAAACAGTGCCCGCCGTCTTTTTGCTTGGCAGCCAGCTCCCTATCAGGCGGTTCAGCGACATGTCGCGTCGTGGCGGATGAGCAGTGTACATCATGGCAAGTTATTGACTGAGCTGCGTCGCGGAAACGGCAGCGCTTGGAAGTTTTTATGTGATAACGAGAAGCCACTTCAGTTTGCCCAGGGCTTGGCCCCCTCGGCTCAGGAGGATGTTCTAGTGCCATGGACGGATGCGATGCGACCGGCGGAAAAAAAAATCCGGCTGTTGATTCATTCCTGGTGGTTGATCAAGGGTAGGTGATGGGATGGGAGGTGCTTGTTTTGGTTGGTGTCCTTGTGCCCCGCCGCAAACTGTAAATTGGCTGTAGATGCAATTCCCGCGGTGGGAGAGCATTTGTAGCGCCTCGAGGAATTTGCGAAAGAGGCATCTCAACCCCCATCGCATCGCGCATACCGTGGGGGCCAAAGAAGGCGGTGCGAAATAAGACTGCACTGCGGCATTGGACAACGAAATGCCAACCTGAAGTGTAACAGAGTGGATGTAGGGAGGAAAAATCCACTCGTTACTGGTTCATGTGCTTGTATATGAAGGTGCGAATTTGCACGGTACTCTGTACAAAGACGCACTATTACAGAAGGCTAGAAGTACAATGGATGTAAGTGATGGAAACATCCTTACATGGAGAGATCATGCTTGCAAAGTTTTGATGTATCTAAACTCGTGACAGCGCGATTAAGTGATAATCTATCCACAACCAGATATAATCCCGATCATAACCCTTTTTTTTTTTGGAAAATTTGACCAGCATACACACCTCAGGTAATTTGAGATTGATCAACACATAATCCTATTCTGAAGCTTATGCACAAATCAATCTGTTTCAGTAGCGGGCCTTGTGCCCACATCCAAAGAGCATCATCTGCGATGGACGGACACGATCATTTCTTCATCTGAGCCAGGACTGGATTCGCCACATCTCTCAGTGCTCCCCTATTGGTCGCAGCGATGTGGCGATTGGCTGCCTTCCACATCCGCTCTCGGTGACGTTACGGCATTGGGCACCGCGCTCCTCCTGGTGCGGTTCGACCCACGCCTGATTCTCCATTCTCCAATTCCGCTGGGGAAGCAAGCAGGGCAGGCCTGCCTGAGGGAGTGCGCTCCAGGGCGAGTGAGCAAGGCTCCCTCTCTTGGGGTTCTTTGGATTGAGCCATGAGAAAGAAGAGAGTGTGGATAAAGGTGCATCTCTGACACATTTACCACTTTTGGCGGAATAAAGACAGCCTGCTAGGTGCACTCAAGGCCTGTGCCTTGGTAGTACTGTGCAGCTGAACGCTCCAGTTTTTTGTCCGTAGTTGCATGGCGTTCCGGGTCTGAAGGCACGCTGGAGGCTAGGAGAGTGAGCTAGAGTAGCATAGCGGATTGGTCAACACGGCGACCGCCGTGTGGGCCGCCCCGGGCCGTAGCGCCGCTGCTAGCTACCTCATGGCTCACCATGGCGCCGGGAATCCTCGCTACGGCGGCCATTCTAGCCAGTTCGGCGACACCACGCTCACCAAGGTCTTCGTGGGAGGCCTTGCGTGGGAGACTCAAACAGAAACCATGCGCAAGTATTTTGAGCAGTTCGGCGAGATTCTTGAAGCAGTTGTAATCACGGATCGTATGACCGGCCGCTCCAAAGGATACGGATTTGTAAGCAGCTCTTTAGCAAGTTTCTGTACAAATTTAGGCCTGCACAGTACACCACTTCCTGTTATAGGAAGCATCGGCCTGACTCGTTTCATGACAGTAGGATAACTCGCCTGCTTCCGTTTCAGGTGACTTTCAGTGACCCAGAGGCTGCACAAAGAGCGTGTCTTGACCCGTCGCCAGTCATAGACGGTAGAAGGGCCAACTGCAACCTCGCTTCGTTAGGACAGAAGCAGCGTCCGCAGCAGCCGCGAGGACAGCAGGGTAAGACTCCCACCGTCTGATAGGGTTTCAGCTGTATCTGTTTTTACGCGAGCTACGTTCTTTATGATGCTTAATCGCATTCTCCACTAACTGCCTGAATTTCTGGTAGCAGGTGGAGTGCCGTTCGGCGGGTACCCACCGCAACACCCGTACCCCATGTACCCGCTACAAGGCTATCCCATGTCACCCTTCGGGTATGTTACATCAGGCTCATCATCCCTCCTGATCCCGCTACTTAAATCTTCGATCCGCTGCTCACTCTATGTTTCAAGATCTGTATGTTCTTTCCGTGTCCATCACCCTCCAGGTACCCTCAGCAGTTTCAGGAAGGAGCCGGCTACGGATTTCCACAGGTATATAACATTTACCACCGTTCCGTTCTCCCCACACCCCACGGTACTAATCCTTTTAAGCTCAATTATATTCTTTGTCCTGTCTTTCAGGGAGTGTTTCCGCCGTACGGCCCTCAGGGCTTTCCTGCGCAGCCGGGGATGTTTGTACCGCCTGTAGGGACAGCCACGCCTGGGGGCATGTATCCTGGATATCCTCCTGCTGCGTTCGGGCCGACGCAAGCGGCGCAGGCAGCAGGGGGATTTCCGGGAGGCCCTTCTATGATGCCATCCGCCCCGCAACCAGCTGGCGTGGCTGGTGCTGCGCAACCTTTTGGGTTCCAACAGATGCAAGGAGGACAATCCCAAGGTTTTCAGGGGACGGGCGAGCAGCAGATGGGAGGTGCCAGCCAGCTTGCAGGAGGCCCTGGGGCGCAACCAAGCCAAGGTGAGATGTTGTGATGAATACAGTAGTCCTTTCGAACCTTTTGATCAGTAATGTATGTGCATATAGATTATGTTATTAATATTGTTATCTCCCTATTTTTCCAATTCTTTATCTTACGCAGGTGCACAGGAAGGGACTGGAGCAATGCCAACACAGCAGCAATACGGAGTCCCCATGCAAGGGGGTCAATCGCCATTCTCAGGGCAACACCAAGGGCCAACTGGATAGGATGACACTGAACTATAAAAAAGTGAAGATATTTGTGTGCAGTTTTGCTTCAGGTGACATCCAGGGTGTCTTAGTCGTGAAAACTAATGACTCGTGGAGCAACAGTGCGCACACCCTGGTTGTCATAATGTGCATACTCAGATTATTTCATTGCATTCTTCCCATGATTGACAAATACACAAGCCTAATTACTGAACATTATTATTGTCACAGATGTTGCTCGACACCTCTTACTCATCTCACATTGTAGAATCAATAATACTATATCGAGTCCACTCTTGCCCAGCTTCACAAATTGAACATCCAATCCAAAGCGAATAGAAACAACCCCCCAAATGCTAGTCGCCTCCTAACTTGTACACAGCCAGCTGTTCTTTAGCACGTCGAACCTACACAATTGCACGAAATTCTCGCAGCGCAGTCGGTCGAGTGGGCAATCCATGGCGAAATCTGGCGGCACAGATGGGCCTCGCCCGCGCACAGGTGCAAAATTTCAAGGAAATTCAGGCTCGGGCAGACGACAGGAAAAGCCGAGTGCGGGAAGGAGGCAAGAAAACCCAAGTCCGAGTACGGGTAGACGCCAAGAAAAGGCGGGCAGGGGGCGATCCGCTCACGCGGACTCTAGCAGGGTGCACGCGCAGGCGGCGGCGGCGGTGGAGCGCATAATGCGCGCGAACGAGACGAGGCGCGGGGGTTGCGCGGTGAAGGGGCTGACGCTCGCGGAGGGCAATGTGGCGAAGCGCGCCACGCACGCCGTCACGTGCGAGACGCTGCGATGTAAGAAGCGCTTCGATGTAAGGGGCGCTGCGATGTGAGGATTGCTGAGGTGTAAGGAGCGCTGCGATTTAAGGTTGCTGAGAGGTGTATATAGCGCGAAGCGCTCGTCATAGCGGATGTTGCGGCCTTCTTATATTTCCATTTCGCTAACCGCGTCACGTCATTACAAACTTTTAAGCCTCGAACCCTGAAACCCGCGGGTTCAGGGGTTAGTGCCTTCAAGCCTATGTCTGTCTCACTCGACCCCCACATTCTCTTTACTGCCTCTGTCTGCCCCTCTCTATATCTCTCTGCCCCTCTCCGCCCCCCTCTGGCCCCTGTCTACCGCTTCCCACCCCTCTCAACCCCGCCCATCAGACCTGCCAGTGATCAAGGATCTCATTGCCGCCACTGGCCTCGCCAACAGCAACTGGATGAAGGTACGGGAAGGAGAGGAGAGGGGAGGGGGGGGAAATTGGGGAAGAGGGATGGACTAGGGGGAGGGGAGGGAGTAGAGGCGAGTGCACCCAAGTACACCCCTGTCTGCCCCAATGCACCCCAATTTTCCCAAAGTTGAGGAGCCCACATCGCCCCACCCCGAGAGAAGCATCTGCTTACCCATTTGTAGCTTTCTCCACTCCCTCCCACCCCAATCTGTGCGGCAGGCCAAGCCCCACCTGGTGTATGTGCTCGTATATGACTTGGTGGTGTCAGGCAAGGTGAGCGGAAGGTAACCGCGTGCAATCTTATGGGCACCTTGTGCGCCAGCCTCGACACGTTTTAAACCGCGCTGAATTGCAAAATCAATTGCCTAGCCCTTAAAGCCCCACCTGGTGTATGTGCTCGTGTACGACCTGGTGGTGTCAGGCAAGGTGAGCCCTTAAAGCCCTTACTCCTTCCCCTTATCTTTGCTTAGATTTCCTATTTACCTGTGCTCATCATTTTGCACCCTTCACATTGCTTCCCCTCCCAACCCAGCACATTTTGGGAGCAGCAGTGCTGCACTGTTGGGGCCACTTTAGAGATATCTCAAAAGTGATCCAAGTAAACTCCCATCCTTCCACTCGCCCCCTCCCCCCTGCCAGAGTACATTGGGGTTAGGAGCGGTGCAGAAGGTAGTGCTGTCACACAAGCGCCTCTCAGAGCAGCGCTTCCCCGACTGATGGTGAAGCGCGGAGCAACAACCCTTCAAGGCACCCCATATCCCTCTCTCCCTTCCTCTCCCAGGGTACATTAGGGTCAGGAGCGGTGCAGAAGGTAGTGCTGTCACACAAGGCGGCCCTCAGAGCAGCGCTTGCCCGGCTGCTGGTGAAGCAGCGTGCAGCATCAGCAGAGGAGCTGCTTGGTCCCTCCAATGACGCGCCTGTTGCTGCACGTGAGTGACATTTGCCTTTTCCCCACTGCCACCTCTTTGGTCTAGGGAACATTCTTCTCCCCTCAGAGCAGCGCTTGCCCGGCTGCTGGTGAAGCAGCGTGCAGCATCAGCAGAGGAGCTGCTTGGTCCCTCCAATGACGCGCCTGTTGCTGCACGTGAGTGACATTGCCTTTTCCCCACTGCCACCTCTTTGGTCTAGGGAACATTCTTCTCCCCTCAGAGCAGCGCTTGCCCGGCTGCTGGTGAAGCAGCGTGCAGCATCAGCAGAGGAGCTGCTTGGTCCCTCCAATGACGCGCCTGTTGCTGCACGTGAGTGACATTGCCTTTTCCCCACTGCCACCTCTTTGGTCTAGGGAACATTCTTCTCCCCTCAGAGCAGCGCTTGCACGGCTGCTGGTGAAGCAGCGTGCAGCATCAGCAGAGGAGCTGCTTGGTCCCTCCAGTGACGCGCCTGTTGCTGCACGTGAGTGACATTGCCTCCCCCACTGCGTGTTCCTCCCCCACTGCGCCACCTTCCCACTGTCACCTACTCGCGCTATCAGAACCTGCAACTCAATTTCCAGTCTTCGTTCGTTGAGTATGCATCCCAGCAAACAGGAAGCAACCAGGAAACGAGGCTCATGTATCACGGCGCACACACGTCGTGCCGCTCAAAAACCTCCAACAACCTCATGTTTAGAGATTAATCCGGCTAATCCAAAACCCTCCAACCTCTCCAACCCCCCCTCCGCACCCCCCCCTCTTCCAACCCCTTTCCCCCCCTCTTCTTTCAACCCCCCCTCTTCCAACCCCCCCCCCCCCAATGCAGACCCCCGCTATGCGCGAGTGAACACCCTACGCACCACCACCGATGCAGTGCTGGCACAATTTCAGGCCGGCACGGCCCAAGAGAATGGCGGCAAGGAGGGGGGGATTGATGCAAGCGCTAGCAGCAAAAGTGGGGATGGTGTGAATGAAAGTGGCCCGAAGGCGCCAACATCGGTGCAGGGCGTGCAGGAGGGAGGGCGGAGGGGAGCTGTCAGCACAGCGGGATGGGCTCATTCCAGATGTGCTTGTGTTTCCCCGGGCACGGAGTTGCACCGGCACCCTCTGGTGGAACAGGGAGATCTCATTCTGCAGGTGGGTTGCAGCAGAATACAGACCTCATTCATACCCTTCTTTCTTTTTGATATTGAGGCACCGGAAAGGGGGCCTCTGGATTTAGCTCAAAGTACCCCATTCTGCGTTCTCCCTTTCTCCCATCAGGGTCGAGCCAGCTGCTTCCCAGCGTTCATCCTCGCTCCCCGCCCCGGGTGGCATGTGTTGGACGCATGTGCAGCGCCGGGAAACAAGACGTCTCACGTGGCTGCACTTATGGCAAACACAGGGCGGCTCACCGCGTGCGAGAGGGACGCAAAGAGAGCAGTGCTTTTGCGGAAAAATCTGGACAAAGCCGGGGGTGACGTGTGAGTGGCCGTGAGCTTGTTGGGGTCGTGAATGAGATTGTGTGATTGCTCAAGGGATGGTGGGTGATGGGACGTTGTTTGAGTCGACTCAGAAATCGTCTTTGCACAAGGGACGGTGGGTGGCAAGCAACACGAGCAACACGAGCAACTCTCACATCGCATGTCTGCACTCATATCAAACAGAGGACGGTCACCGCATGCGCTGCTGCGGAAACTTCTGTAAAATTTCCCTTCTCCCTTGTCTCCATCCTCTTCTCTCCCCCTTCCTCCCCTCACCGCCCTCCCCTCTTCCCCAGGTGCGCGGGTGCACGAGGGGGATTTTTCTCGCCATCGACCCCACCTCACCTGAATTCGCCGATTTGTGAGCTCCTCTGCTTGAACTTTCCCCCCCCTGTAATGCAAAGTATTGCTGTGTGTTCCCTTGCCTTTGCTTCTCTCCCCCGTATCACGTTCAGACCCTCAGAATTCTCAAATGAGATTCCAACAGTGCATCTGTCCTTCCTCACCCTGCTCTGAGCTCCAACACTGCAAACCTGCTCTAAGCTCTGTTGTTCTGCCCCAGGCTGTTGGGTCTCTTCTGTTCCATATCACTACGAGTCTTTTGCCGTGCTGTCTCCCCTCCCTTGTCCCTTTCAGGTGCAAGCAATCCTGCTGGACCCTTCTTGCTCCGGCTCAGGCACTCGGCACTCCCGAGGGGACCTGTTGCTCTCTCAAGGGGGCGCCTCCCTTCATGACAGGGGGGGGGGAGAGGGAGCAAGGAGCGGGGAAGTGGAGGAGAGGTGGGGAGGACGGTAGAGGGCGTGGTGGGGCGAGAGGTAGGGGAAGAGATGGGGGGAGAGGTAGAACGTGTTCCATCAACGAGAGGGAGAACGAGGCAGTGGTAGCAGCAGTGCTCCCTCTGAAACCACGTTGCACCCCTCTGTACCCCTCTGCACCCCTCTGTCCGTATCCCCCAGTCCCAGCAGCACAGCGCATCACCTACAGCACCTGTTCCATCAACGAGAGGGAGAACGAGGCAGTGGTGGCAGCGGTGCTCCGCTGCTCTCTCCCGTGGCTTCCGCCTCGCCCCAGCCCTGCCTGCCTGGCACCGGAGAGGCCTCCCGTCCTACCCCTTCGGTGAGTACGCCCTTTTGAGCCGCCTATAAAATCTGTATGCCTAGAAAGTGCGCCTCTGTGAATCGCCCGAGAGACGCAGTGATAGCGGCGGTGCTCCCTGCTGCTCTCTCCTGTGGCTTCCGCCTTGCCTCAGCCCTGCCGGCCTGGCGGAGAGGCCTGCCCTCCTACCCTTTCGGTGAGCACTCCCCTTGTAAATTGCCTGAATGCAGCAGTCGTAGCGGCGGTGCTCCCTGCTGCTCTCTCTAATGGCTTTCGCCTTGCCTCCGCCCTGCCGGGCTGGCCCAGGAGAGGCATGTCCTCCTACCCCT